CTGTGAAAAACAGTGTAGATATATTTAAAAACTAGAAATAAACTTGCCTTAGGATTCAGCAATCTCATTCCTGGGTATATACACAAAAGCCCTGAACACAACAAATCAGATACCTGGACCACCGTGTTTACAGCAGCATTGTTCATAATAGCCAAAATTTGAACTCAATCAAGGTGTCCGTCACCAGATGAATGGATGAAGAAAATGTGGTATATATACACAAAACAGCATATTATTTAGCTACAAAAAAGAATGAAATTCCACTATTTGCAGCAAAATGAACTCAACTGGAGAACATCATGTTGAGTGAAATAAGCCAGAACCAGAAAGACAAAGACCACATGTTCTCCCTATATGTGGGAGCTACATTGAGAAATAAACGGAGAGAGAAATTTCAATGTGTACTGGTGCTGCTGCAAATATAGTTTTGTGAAACTTTGTTTTATAGCTTTGTCAAACAATGGGTAAAAGTGTTATACCACCATAGTTTTAATGATCTGTGATTACACTAAAATGTACTTTTATGGGTGATACGGTCATTTTTTCCGCACAAGTACTGTTCATGGCCATTGTCCGTACTCCCAGCTTCTCCGCTTCCAAGGCAGCAGAGGATGGTTCTAGTATTTTGGTCCCTGCCACCCTTGTGGGAGACCTCAATGGAGTCCTGGGGTCCTGGCTTTTTGGCCCAGTCCAGCCGCAAACGTTGTGAGCATCTGGGGAAAGAACCAAAAGATGCCAGGCCTCTCTCTCTCTCTCCCCTCTCCTGTCCTCCCTCTCTTTCTTTGTGCCTTTCAAATAAAATTAAAATAATAAACATAGCTAATCCTATTTGGTATCATCAGGTCACTAAAAAATTTCTTCTCAATAAATAAATCTTTATAATAGCTTAAAGGAAGAAACAACTCAATATACATAAAAAGACAAGTGAATAAAATGTGGCATGCTTATATTATATTATGTATTACATTAATGATAATATTATATAACATTCAGACATAAAATGAAGTACAGATATAAGCTACAACATGAATGAAGTTTGAAACATTATGCTAATTAAAATAAGTAAATCCCAGAACAGCAGATACAGGGTGCTGCAGCTTAAGCTGCAGTTTAAGATGCCAGAATCCCATGTCAGAGCATCAGTCTGAGTCCCAGCTGTTCTCCTAATCTTGCTCCCTGCTAACGCACCTAGGAAAGCAGTGGAAGATAGACCAAGTGCCCGGGTCCCTGCCACCCACGTGGCAGACTTGGAAGGAGTTCCTGGCTTTGCAAACCAAGGATGGAAAACAGTTCCTTGCCTCTGATTCTGACTCTTCCTGCCTCTAACTCCTCCCGTCATCAGTCTGCCTTTCAATAAGTAAATCTTTATATAAAGGTGCTGGAGATGCCAAATGAAGTGTGTGCATGTCTGATAACTGTGTGTTTCTGATCCTGATCAAAGCAACATGGTGTCTCTTCTGTTTCCTGAGATGTATATGTCCCCTTTAAATGTCTGTATTCAAGGGGCAAAGATTGGGCCTGGTGGTTAAAGACCCTTGCATTCCATATCAGAGTGTCTGGTTCAATTTCTAGTTACTCTGCTTCCAAACCAGCTTCCTGTCACAGTGCACCTAGGGAAGCAGCAGGTGGTGTTTCAAGGAGTTGGGTCCCCAACTCCCACATACCATGCCTGGACTGAGTTCCTGGCTGCCAGCTTCAACAGGCTCACTCATAGCCACTGTAGGCACTTCAGGAGTGAGCCAGCTGATGAAAATGCACTCTCTCCACAACTTGCTCACTTGCTCTCCCCTTCCCTTCCAAATGTGTAACTATTTGTAAATATTTAGGAAACGACCACGTGTCCAGCTTCTTACTGATCCTGTCAAGGCAAAGCCCACTGCCGAAGGTCAGGGACTACCCGTCACGCTGGGAAAAGGCCAGTGAATGGGGGGAAATGCAGCAAAAGCTTACACAGTAACGGGAGGACACACTGGCTACCAAAACTGACCTGAAATCCACAGCTTCTAAACCTGGCTGGTCATCAAAATACTTCCGTGGCCTCTTTCATTACAGATTTTTAAGTTCCACCTCAGGCTTATTCAACCAGAATCTCTGGGTAAACATCCTAGGAATCTACAGTTCAGTAGGCTCCAGATGCTCTGAGATCTGGCCAGGATTAGTAACCACCAGTAGAAATCTTCACTCAGGAGTAAATGAGCAAAGATCAGTCAGTGTATAAAGAAATTTGACAGCATGAAATAGGGCATCAAAACCAATAGCACCCAAGGAAACAGAACTAATTCAGGAAACAGAAGATAACTTTTTCTTTTATGAGTTATCTGAAAGGCAGAGTGACAGAGATGGAAAGACAGAAAGAGATCTTCCATCTGCTGGTTCACTCCCTAAATGGCTGCAACACCCATGTCAGAGCCAAGCCAAATTCCATCTACGTGACCCATACGGGTAGCAGGGATCCTGGTCCTTGGGCCATCTTCTGCTGCTTTCCTGGCACATTATCAGGGACTTGGATCAGAAGCAAAGCATCTGGGACTCCAAATGATGCTCAATTTGGTAGGTTGCTGCTGCAGGCAGCAGGTTAACATGCTGTACCACAATGCTGGTCCCACAAGAACTTTGAAACTTTCTCATTCTTATCCTCAAAAAGGTTTGAGAGGACCTACACAAATACAGATTGGAAGCTCCCTACCTCCAGAATCCACCTGCCTCCTGCACTCACAGCAGTCACTCAAACAGAAGCCTTCACGAGACACACTGGACCCAGGCCAGAGGCCATGCGTCAATGGGAGGCTCCACTCTCCTAGGACTGGACCTTCCCCAACTCATCAGATCTTGCAGCAAGATGGACTCAATGAGAGAACCTGGGCTGAAGCTAGGAAACAGTCACATCATACCAGGAAGGAATAAGGAAGGGTTACACAATTGTGCATACAGCTTAAAGTCTGGCAAAATCAGATCATAGAGACTGAGAAACTGAAATAACTTTGGAAGAATATAAACCAGAATGTTGATAAGCAGATGCCACATGATCCGCACCTTCTTCTTTTAACTAAGAATACATCTTACTCTGCTAATGTGGAGAGGAAAAACAACAAAACACACTTCCACTTTCCAATCAGAATCCAACTAAGTAATGGGGCCCTCATAGCTCCCTGTGGCCAACACAGATAATTCTAGAAATCTCCCCTGTGTCACAGAGCTCCCATCCCACCCCAACGGAGCTGATGGGAATTGCCTCTAGAATTAGGAGCATTAACTGAGGTCATGCAGGTAAGACACTTCACACAGTCAAGGCACACGCGAAGGTTTAACAAACAGATGCTAATTAATTGCTCTCTTTCTCATCCTTCATCAACTAAACCAATAAATTCCAGGATACCAGACAACAGGCCACTTATAGGCCACTTGTAGGGGCCAACTCACTGCTTCTCCATCACTCAGGCTGTAAAGAATTGGGCTTATTGGGCAGCAGTGAGTCTGCCCAGGAACACCAGGAAGGGCCTAACTCCTCAGGCACACTGTTTTCAAAATCTTGGCAAAGCCCAGTTACGTTGTGGTACCTGCCTCAACCTTTAAGTCTGTGCAAGTTTAAGGAGAAATGTGCTGGACAGGGACAGGCATGCTGGCACAGAGGCTTAAGCAGCTGCTTGAGTTTGAATACTATGGTCTGCTTCCAATCCAGCTGTGCTGAGGGGTCTGGGAAACAGTCATGACAATGGTTAATGGGCCAAGTAGCAGTTCCTGCTATCCATGTGGGAGATGTGGTTGGAGCTCCTGGATCCAGGCTTCAGCCTGGCCCCAATCTGGCTGTTGTGGCTACCTTCAGAGTGAACCAAGGAGTGGAAGATCTCTGTTGCTCTGTCATTCTGCTTTTCAAATAAAAAATGATCATAACCATTTAAAAAGATTTATTTATTTATTTATTTATTTGAAAGTCAGAATGACAGAGAAAGAGGAAGACATCGAAATCTTTTCTCCACTGATTCACTCCCCAGAGGGCCACATCAGCTAGGGCTGGGCCAGGCCAACCCAGGAGTCAGAAACTCTATCAGGGTCTCCTGCACGGATGGCATGGGCAAAACACTTGGGGGCCATTCTCCACTGCTCTCCTAGGTGCATTAGCAGGGAGCCTGATCAGAAGTGGAAAGCAGGACTTGAACTAGTGCCCATGTGGGATGCTGGAGTTGCAGGCAGTGGCTTTAACCGCCACATCAAAATACTGGCCCCGTATAGATAAAATAATCTTTTAAAATAAATGGGGAAATTTGAATTCCAGTAACAACTCTGCTGCTGCTGCTTTTGGAAGATGCTGTTCTCTCTGAGTTCAAACCTACAAGGGAGAGAAAACCCCATCCAGGGGGAGCTTCAGGACCGTGAGAAGAGAAAGAGCTGTGAGGGGCAGGGGCTGGAGGAAGCGGGCCTCTTCTGAGGTAAGCTGTGGCTACTTCCAAGGCCAGGATGAGAGCGGAGGTGCACAGTCGGCGAGGGACTTCCTTTCCACCTCAACTCCCAAAGGCAGACCTGGGCCCCTCTTGAGAGGGCGGTCTGCCTTGAAGGACAGTGCTCCCATCTCCACTGTGGGTCAAATTACAGCCTCTGAGGTTAACCCCAACGGACAGAAGGCCATCTGGTCCCTGGACCATAGCAAATGAGTGGATGAGATCTCCAGAGGCAGCAACAAGACCGTGATTTGACCTGAACAGCCTGCTAATGGGAAATTCGGCGGTGACAACCCGGGTCTCTGAAAGATTAACTGGGGCGTGATTATTCCAGCCCAGTGAGGCAGAACCAACTGGCCTGGCACCAGTGGAGGGGCAGCAGGTGGTGGCCAGCAGCTTCCGGCCGCTTGAGCCTGTGCTCTGGACAGAGGAGGAAGAAAGCGTAGATGAAGCCCCAGGTGGAAAGAGTGAGGAAGATAATGGGGGCTCCAGCCTTGCTTGCCAACATCGCGGGCAGGGGTCGCCTTTCTGGCGTTGGGCACAGCCTGCCCGAGAGGCACTTACCGAAGGTGGTGAGGTAGAAGGACAAGTCCCGGTGGGCACGCTGTCTCCCGAGAGAGACTCGGTGCAGGGAGCGCTCCATAGCGTCCCAGCCGCGGGTAAGCCGCCGACCGACTAGCTGGCGCGCCTGTAACCCAAGGCCGTTCTGTTGCTTCCCAGTAACCGAGGCAGCAGGTTCACCCGCCCCCACGCCAGTGTCTCCAAGGCGGGACGGGCGGGAGCCGGAGGCCCTGCTGCCCCGCGCGTTGGAAGCGGCGGGGCGCGCCAGGCCCTGATTGGCCCGCGCTGGTTTGAATGGGGAGCTTTCCACCTGACGGAGCTGCCGGCGCGGGGCCAGTGGGGAGGAGGCGCCTGGAGCCCGAGTGAGCGGAGCAGGGCCACCCATGGCCAGAGGCGGCTCCCTCCTGGAGGAGCCGGCGGGACAGCCTGGGCGCCAGCACCGCGCTTTGGGTTGAAGGACCAGACCCACCAGAGGCCCACTCGGCCGGCCTTGGCCTGCTCGTCCAGCCCCCTCAAGCCAGCAATTAGCCAGGTTTGTAACCTGCTTTGAAGCTCATACCTGTAATCATGAAACCCAAGCAAGGGCAAAGGAGCGGCCTCTTGCTCCAGTGCTGTGAGGATTGGATAAGTTTGTGCACTTGCACGGGACACACACATATACACCCCACCTCGCGGCGGCCTTTCTCAAATCCTGCCGCTTGGCTATCCTTCCTGCCTCCCCCCAGCTAGAGCAGCCAGGCACAAACCCCATGGGAGTAGATTGCTTGAGCCAGCAAGCCAACGCCTGTCTTCCCATCCTAGCCTGGGCCACTCCACAACAGGACAGGCCCACCAGCATCTAAGGGACATCAATGCACAGGACAAGGAGGTGGAAGTGGGGACATTTTACCTCTCCCAGGCCTGATGTAGGGAGGCAGAGCTGAAAGGAAGGTCAGCCACTGCCTGGCTTTGTTGGTAGACGTACACAAGACACCTCTGGGAAGTGGCTTCACACACCATGATAGCCACTGACTGCTGCCTACTGCCACCATGGCGGGCAAAGCTGCTGTTCTCATGGCGCTCTGGATATGAGCTGTGTCAGCATCTGCCCCTGGTGCCTGGGCTTCAGTGCCAGTAGATGTCTAAGGGTCCAAAGACTGGAGGGACACAAGAGAGGAAGTGGAAAGGCGAGTCAGGCACATATATATTATAGTGAGGGTGGGGTGCCAGGGCCAAGCCGAGCAACTTAACATGTAAATTGTAAGTTATCTTCAGCAGAAGCCTGAGAGGTAATAGCCCAGGTAACCAGGGAGAAACCAGAACCTCAGGCAGTAAGGACAGGTGATTTGTACAAGATTGGCTGAGCCAGGAGAAAGCAAGGTGAAATTTCTTTTTTTTTTTTTCCTGGTTGTGCTACAGCTTCAGGTCTTATTTTTTTTGGGGGGGGGTTCACATTTTATTATTATTGCTATCACTTTATGATACAGTTCCATATTCCCTTATCCCCTCGCCAATTCCTCCCCCCCCCAGTTCCTTTATATCATTACTAACATATAGTTCTTCATACTCAGTCATATGTTCATCATTGCAGGCATGGACAATGGCAGAGAGTCCAGAATCCTATTGTCAAAATATAATATAAACAGTTTCACTATAAGTCCATCTTTGTCTGGAAACAGAAATACATACCACACTGCATCCTCACATCTGGTTGTTAGTCTCCATTACATAACTACTGTACATTCCCTTAAGTGAAAAGTCATGATACAAAATCAACAATAGAAAGAAAAATAGAAATTTACAGTGCCATGAAGTTAAATGACATGTTACTAGATATGACGTTCTTCTCCATTACACAACTACTATACATTCCCTTAAATGAAGAGCCACAAAACAAATACAACATCCGAGAGAAAAAAGAAATTAACAACACCAAGAAGTTAAACAACATGCTATTAAATGTATAACTGAAGAAGCTGAAGAAGTGAAAATCAAGAACCTTCTTGAAGAAAATGATGCCACTGCATGATCTACGAGTCATTGAATGATTTAATCAGAACAAAGTGTTTTGAAGAGATGAAACCAACAGAAAACAACAAAACCCATGTGATAGAGTTTCCACTGATCTTTGTTGGAGTGTGTCTCCTCCTGACAATAAACAGATGGGTTTTGTTTTTTAATTCAGTCTACTAATCTATGATGTTTGATTGATCTTAAGCAATTTACATTCAGAGTTAAATATGCATAGGTGATACTTTGGTCCTGTCATTTTAGGAATGGGTTGTTCATTGATTTAGTCTTCTGTTGTCATTTTACTGTGATGTTCTTCCTGTTTGCCTTTGGTTTTGGTAGGTGCTATTCCTCTTCTCTGTCAAGAGAACATCTTGAAGTATCATTTGTAGGGCAGGTTTGGAAGAGGCAAATTCTTTTAGCTTTTCTTTACTCTGGAAGAATTTTATTTCATTTTCAAAGATGAAAGAAAGCTTTGCTGGGTATATTATCCTAGGCCGACAATTTTTTTCTTTTAGAATCTGGAATATGTCACTCCATTCTCTTCTTGCCTGTAGAGTTTCCTGTGAGAGATCTCCTGTGAGCTTAATTGGCCTTCCTTTATATGTCAATTGATGTTTTTCACGTGCACATTTAAGGATCTTTTCCTTATGTTCAATTGAAGAGAGTTTGATAATCATATGTCTTGGTGAAGATCACTTTTGATCAAACCTGTTGGGAGTTCTGTGTCCCTCCTAGATCTTGTTTCCCAATTCTTTCTCCAGATTAGGGAAATTTTCCTTTATTATTTCATTAAATACATTTGCAAACTCAGCTTCTCTTTCTGCACCTTCCAGGACTCCCATAACTCTTATATTTGGCCTCTTAATAGTGTCTTTCAATTCCTGAATACTTTTTTTTGGCCTGATCCAGCTCTGCTTCCAGTTTTTTGTTTGCTTCCCCCTGGTGACAGGAGGTATCTGCCAATTCTGAGATTTTTTCTTCTGCTTGCTTCATTCTATTTTGGAGACTCTCCACTGTACTTGTAATTTTCTCCACTGCGTTCTTAATTTCTGATATACCAGCCTTGATTTGCTTTACTGCTTCCTTAAATTCTTTGAACTCTTGCATGAGCTTCTCATTTTTGACCAGAATCTTCAAAATGAGTCTTATGGATTCTGTGTTCCCCATTTTCTCAATATCTTCCTCAGTTAACTCTGAGGTTGGCATAGGGTTTTGCTCCTTTGCAGGGGAGTGCTCAGTAATATTCATTGTGCCTTTGTCTCTTCTTTTGCTCGTGATCATTGTACTTCTGGTTAGCAGAGTCCTCTCTTTGGGGCAGATTTCTAAGCTGTGTCACCCACAGGTCTACAATGCGATTTTACTTATTGCAGTTGGCACACAACTTTTTGCTTGCAGCCACTTGTGCCACAACCTCCAACGAGTTCCAGGTCTGGGTTCTTATATCAGATATCCACCATGGTCTCCACAGCTCCAGCTCTTGGCTCACCACTCTCCACCTCCTGCGATACCGTGCTGAGGCTGCACCGTTGTCTCTGCAACCTTTCTCCCTCTTCCGGTTGGAGTGGGTTCCAGGATTAGAGAGACACCCAGTGTCCTATCTAGTTAGGTTGTTGGTGGCACTGATCTTGTCGGAACCTGTTGGACGTTAGGTCTGAGTGCCACACGGACCTATTTTAACTGGTACAATGTCACAGTCGGTATTATTTTCCTGCGGGACCTCAGCAAGCTCTCGTGAGCTCAGCACATGCACAGTTCACTGTTGTCCCCTGCAGACCCAAAGCTATTGCCACAGTGCGCAAAATGGCACCCGATGTGCTACCACAACAGTTCTTGATCTGCTGGCCGTCTGATCTGAGGGCTACCCAGACATGCCCCAAATGGAACCCGTAGAATGCCACATCGTTGCAGTTTACCGAGTCAGAAATGAGCTCACTCCCCACTCACAGCATGCTCAGTCCTTTCCCTTGCCCTTTTCTGCTTACGCAAAATGGCGCCCAATTCAGCTCTAGGGGGCTGACTGAGCTATGAAATTCACTCTGTTCTCGCACTGCCTGAGATTTGCTGCTCTGTCTCTGCTCCTGGTCAAATCAAAGGGACCAGCAGGATGGACAGTTCTTTGTCTGGATTCACCTCCCAAGCTCCCAGTGAAAGTCCCTTCCCACCTGGTTGCTGATGGAGTTTCGTCTGCTGTTGGAGTTCAGATCGCCGTGCTGGAGTATCATTCACTGCAACACCACACTGCTGTGCCCGCTGCTTTCCTGTGTCTGTCAGTCTCCAGGTACCCCTCTGCTGTTGTTCTGTCCTTTCCTATTTCATGAAATATGTCCTCTCTGCTTCATCCTGATTAAATGTTTCTCCGTCTGATTAAACGTATCCTTACTCTATTCTGCCATCTTGATTCAGCAAGCTGAAATTTCACCCCAGGTCTGACTACCCTAAAGGCCAATGTCTCAGTCTTCCTTGACCCCACGCCTGCCCAGGACCAACAACAGGTAGAACAAACAGACCTGCTTCCTTTTTGAGATAGGTAGGTAAGGAAACTTGATGCCCCGGGACCAGCCAGCCACCAGCAGGGCACAGGAAGTGAAGGCGAAGGCCTGAAATCAGCCAATTAGTTATTATAAACAAATGAATCACATAAAGACCAGTGGATCGTTTGAGTCCAGCACTCTGGGAAGCCCTGCCTTGCTCTTTCTCCACCCAGCCCAGTGGCAGATGGACTTCCTTGCACCATGGTTTTGGATGCCTCTGATTCTCCTCCTGGCCTGGGGGAGAAGCAGCAGTCTGATCCAGACATCCTTTGTGGGCAGAAAGGGATCCAGTTTCTTTCACTCCATCCAGTAGGGAGAAGAAGAAATAAACAACCTCAAATTCAAGGACACTGAGCCTGGAGATGCCACAGCCCTGCAGGAGCAGAATGAGCATATGCGTGGGACATGGCCTACAGGTGTCTCCCTTGCCAGAGGTCTTCATTCAGAAAGAACCAGAAAGATGATGCTCAGAAACCTGGGAAAAGAAAAGTCCCCAGGGAAGGGGGGTGTGACCTGTTCTTGGTGACAGTCACCCCATTCACAGCTACGCCAGGAATTC